TAAGTTTTTTTATCCTTGTCTGTCTGTACTTCCTTAAGAACGTCCCAAAATTGGTTTCCGTTCTCTAACATTAGTTTCCCTCAACCAAATGTTATGAAACTTATACACAATGCTTATTACTACAAAACACAGATCAATTTTGAATTTTGGTGGCGTCACTTCTGCCATTCTTGAGTTATGGCCCTTTACAAATGGAAAAATTGCTGATTTTTTTGTTTCCGTTCTCTAACTTTAGTTTGCCTCACTTAAATGTTATGAAACTTAAACACAATGCTTATTACCGCAAAACATAGACCAAGGTTGAATTTTGGTGGCGTCATTTTAACCGTTCTAGAGTTATGCCCCTTTACAAATGGAAAAATTGCTAATTGTTTTGTTTCCGTTCTCTAATTTTAGTTTGCCTCAACCAAACTTTATGAAACTTATACACAATGTTTATTACCACAAAACACAGACCAAGTTTGAATATTGGTGGCGTCACTTTTGCCGTTCTAGAGTTATGCCCCTTTACAAATGGAAAAAATGCTTATTTTTTTGTTTCCGTTCTCTAACTTTAGTTTTCCTTAACCAAATGTTATGAAATTATACACAATGCTTATTACTACAAAACACAGATCAAATTTTAACTTTGGTGGCGTCATTTTTTACCGTTCTAGAGTTATGCCCCTTTACAAATGGAAAACTTGCTGGATTTTTTGTTTCGGTTGTCTAACTTAAGTTTGCCTCAACTAAATGTTATGAAACGTATACACAATGCTAATTACCACAAAACTTCATATGGCAAAATTTGGGGTAATTTGCTAATTTGCATAGCGGCCATTTTGCCTTATCATGACGGCAGCCATTGCAATAGGATTATATAAGCCCCTTAAATAAAAATGCCAATATGCCAATACCCGTATCTCGAATGAACAATTTGTTCGCATAAAGGTGAATTGTACATGTTTTTATGCTTCTGTCCGTGTACAAATGGACATTGTCTACTCTGAAATCTTTCGGCCTTTTTAGTTTAAAAATCGGAAGCGTAGTCATAGTATAATTGCTATATAAGATCATATTAAATGACGGAAAATCGTAAAATAGCAAGATTCAAAACAGAAATACATATGCAAGAAGATATTGTTCATGATTTGTTCGCATATAGGGAAACACCTTGTAGGTTGAATTTTAAAGTTAAATAACTTTTAACTTACCTGCTTTCTTAAGTTTTCGGCCAAATTCTTTAAAAAAAATGATGATTTCAACCTTCCCATTTCGTTAAAAGTCAAATTTTAAGCATTTTCCCTTAGAATTACACAGCATTTTTTGTAAATATCCGCCAAAGGAAGTTTTTAAAGATACATTAGTTTTAGATACATGACGGAAAAGGACGTGATTATCCGCAAATCTAAAATAAATTATATTTTCAATCTTAAGCTAAGGGAGGTAATTTGATCAAAAGGGACAAAGTCACGTGGTGCAAATCATTTGAATAAAGTACCTTTGATTTTGCCATATGTAGAGCAAGTACTAATTTTGGTAGCGTCACTTTTACAGTTCTTGAGTTGTGTCCCTTTATAACATTATATGCAAGCGAGGTCAGCATCTGTGTCCATTCCCATTTATTTAGTTTATTTTTTTTTAGAATGCATTTCTTTAAGGATTGATTTTTAGCGGAAAAAAACAAATTCGGTGACCTTATTTAATTTCTACTGTAACGTCACCACAACTTCTATACTCTATAACGCTATCATACGATACAGTGTCGTAAAAAAATCGTGAGCGTGAACTATGCCTAACTATTGCCAATTCTCAAGCGTAGTCAATTGATGAGGAAATAGACTTACTAGTTTTTAAGGACATTTCTGCTGACAATACAAAAACGCACATTGGCAAATATGTAAATATACTGCAAGTGAAAGAAAGTTACTGTATAGACTGTAACTCCATCTTTTCTAAATTAAACAGGGTTTCACATCTATTTTTAAATATTTGTATTGTCCTAATTTTTATGAATCAAATATCGAGTTTGAAATTGTCCCGATTAGCACAGTGTTGACAGAATGATTCTCATGATACATATTCTAAAACTGAACTTATAGTTCGCGAAAACCTCCTCAAAATTTGTTGTATACTCAGATATCAGAATGTCTGTAAAGGTGCTCGTACTCTTTCTAAATGATATCAAAATTGCCCTATGCAGGTACAATCTTCTCATTTTATAGATATCAACGTCAGAATGACGATAACAGAAAGTATTGAGACATTCAATGCAGTTAACCCTGTAACGATATACATATAGCAGGCTTATTTATACGTAAGGGAGCTACCATTTGACTTTAATTGGGGGAAAAAGGGGGGAGGATGAAAAATGTTGTCCTGCATTTTTTTTTTAATTGTAATCTCTGTCCTGCCTTTTTCTTTTTGTTTTTCCCTCTATTCGGTCCTGACGTTTTTTTTTTCAAATTTCATCCCAGCCCCCTCCCCTAAAAATAAAATGGAACCTTCCTTATAATATTAACGTAACGTCACACTGTCTGGTACATGTAGCAATCTTTTGGATCAACGATTTATCTATTTACAGGAAAGGAAAAGAACTTCTACCCAAGGCATATTATATTTACAGGAAAGAAAAAGATGACTTCTACTCAAGGCAAGATACATTTACAGGAAAGGAAAAGAAGACTTCTACTCAAGGCATGATATATTTACAGGAAAGGAAAAGAAGACTTCTACTTAAGGCATGATATATTTACAGGAAAGGAAAAGAAGACTTCAACTTAAGGCATGATCTATTACTGCTGTATAAAGACACCAAATAAAGGACAGAGCTTATTTTCTATTTAATCTGTATGGTTTGAATTATAATATTTGCTGTAAATGTTGAACAGTTGAAATTAAAACCACATTCTGCAAGATTATAAACTCACTTCAAATGTGTCAATTTTTTTCATGGTCTCCCATAGGGTGTAATTTTTTCAAACAGGCTGGGAAATTCACCAGATTAAATTGATTGATTGATTGATTTGTTGGTGTTTAACGCCACTTTCAACACCATTGTGCTATTTCGTGGCGGTCATTTTTTATTGATGGGGGAAGCCGGATTGCCCGAAGAAAAGCACGAACCTTCGATAGGAAAACTGACAATCATGGGCCTAGTCAATTAAGATTGGAGTCGAGCGCACCTTGCACGAGCGGAATTCGAATTCATAATCTCAGCGTTGACTGGCTAGTGATACAGTAGTTGGACTACTTGTAGCACTTGGCCACCGAGGCCCCGACAGAATAAAACATACGAGTTAATGTATAGCTATTCATAGATAAGGGGATCGGGTATGATTGTCAATGAGACAACTATTCCTCAAAGATCATTTTAAGTGGTTTTTAACAATTAATGGCAACCTTACGGCCTTCAACATGAGAAAAAACATACTGTATAGTCGCCTATTAAAGGCCCCGATATACATGATTACAGTTAAACAAGATTTAGTGAGGAAATTAGCCCATTTCCTATACTGTATCATCTCTATCTCTGATGTTTGTTGTTTAATTTATCAGTGTGAATGTTTCCCCAGCCAATGATTCCTTTCAATTGTGTTATCTGCTGCTGAAAATGTTTCACCGCAGTGACTCTTTTCTATTCTTACAGTATCTGTTAGACGACATACTTCTCGCTGTTGTATACAACGGAATGTGCAATCATTGTGCAATGCATGAGTATTTTTCTTCAAGCCTGTGAACTTATTTTGGTTATCATCTCTGTGGGAATAATTCCCCAGTCTATAGATAACTATTTGGTTAAAATCTTTGTGAAGAAATTTCCCCAGTCTAAATATTTTTTTTGGTTATCAACTGTGTAAGGAAATTTCCCCATTCTATTGATTTCGGTATCGTTCCCATCTTTTTTGGGAAATTTCCCCAGTCTATTGATTTATTTTTGGTTATGAAATTTTAATGATTTCGTTTTCGTTATCATCTTTTTTGGGAAATTTCCCTAGACTTTTGATTTTTTTTTGGTTATCAACTTTGTAGGGAAATTTCCCCATTTTAGTGATTTCGTTTTCGTTGTCATCTTTTTGGGGAAATTTCCCCATTCTATTGACTTCTTGTTGGTTTTCATCTTTTTGGGGAGATTTCCCCATTCTATTGACTTCTTGTTGGTTATCATCTTTTTGGGGAAATTTCCCCATTCTATTGATTTCTTGTTGGTTATCATCTTTTTGGGGAGATTTCCCCATTCTATTGACTTCTTGTTGGTTATCGTCTTTTTGGGGAAATTTCCCCATTCTATTGATTTCTTGTTGGTTATCATCTTTTTGGGGAGATTTCCCCATTCTATTGACTTCTTGTTGGTTATCGTCTTTTTTGGGGAAATTTTATCATTCTATTGATTTCTTTTTAGTTTCATCATTATGGGGAGATTTTGTCATTCTATTGATTTCTTTTTCGTTAACATCGTTTCAGGGAAATTTCCCCATTCTATTGTTTTGTTGTTGGTCATCATCTTTTTGAGGAAATTTCCCAAATTATTGATATCTGATTGGTTATCAACTTTATTGGGAAATTTCCCCAATACTTGTTAACAAATAATTTCTACGTTTCTTGTATATGTAAAGTAAAACGTGTTTATTTCTTGAGATTGTTCTCCTAGTTTTGTTGTGTAGTGTTATTTGATACCATTATCAAATATATGTGTTACAATCATGCCAGTTAAATGTTTGTTGGAATATTTTGTTCACACAAATAGAAAACATTGAAAAAAGAGAATAAAATAAAATTCTCTTTTTCAAATAGATTGCGTTTGTAGTTAATACTGAAGTAGATACAATGTTAAATATTTCTTGCCATCATCGTACTAATAGGTATATGACCATACAATATGTTCGACGCTGTTGATATCATACTGATGCAGGTTAAGATAAACATTCATGTACACAATTAAATATAAATGTTATTGATAAAATGTTGCCTAAGAATGTATGTCAAAAGCAACGCTCCAAAGGAAAAATGTTGATAATTACCTGGCTGATACAATATCCCATCCACAGGTAGGATTTTCTGATTTCATACATTCAAAGCAAAGTACATTGGAGGGACATGGCTCATTATCAGCAATATTTATGACCTGAAATACGATCGCATTTTCTTTTTACAACAAATGCAGTCTTTTAAGCACAATGTTTATAGCTTGAATTAAATGTATGATATTTAACAGTTTAAATTTGCCTGCTTATGCTGCACATTTTAATAAATCTTAGTGATGCTCGAGGCCAAAATATTTCGAGTTAAAACCTAATATTGACGTTGTAGACCATATATACTTGAAAAGGGCTAAAACTATTACGAAACTAAGCCAATGAATTAAAGCTATGCAGTAAAGAGATGCATTCTTTAAATTCATACTAATTAGTACTTTTATAATATTTATATTTTTCTTCGAATACCAAAGTACTTAGCCTTTGGGCTTGTGATAAACTCGAGGACTACACAATGTTTAAGATTCCGCGGTGGAATCCACCCAGTGAGAATGATGCCATTAAGCGTTGCCATTATTTTCTGCACAAGTTGCATCTTTAGACAATGTCCTTTTACCTTTTTGATTCGAGCGTCACTGGTGAGTCTTTAGTAGACAACATGAACGTCTAGCGTACAACATTATAATCTTGGTATCTATGACGAGTTTATTTATTGATGTCAAATGTCAATATATTGGAAATTCGCAATCTGTTACAAATGTTGAAGAGCTTTCATATATGGTTAGTGATGTTAAAAACCGTTTAGAATACATGTATAGAAAATGTTGCTTTTATGTTTAATTTGATAATATAAATCCATACAAAACCCGCAATTGAGTCTTCTTACTCTTTCCTCGAAAAATAAATATTGTTAGTTTAACCATTATCCAAAATTGTGTTCAATAACACCCTTTTTACAACTTAATTTGGCCCTTTCTCAATTGTGCATCTCCATAAAGATAACAAAATAAAGATTTCAACTGCATACCTAGCAGTAATCAAGAATACTTATATCAAAACCTATGTGAAACACAACGGCTTTTGTTCCGTTGCCTTTAAATTTTTTAACCATATTCCCTGAAACTGCGCGCAACCTATAAAAACAAAATTTACACATAAGGTCCATTGGATGATCATTTATATAAATGTGTGTTTTGTTGTACTTTAAACAATTATGGCACGTAGATATCCATAATTGTCAATCTAAAAGGATTATTCCCTGAGAGTGCTTCTAAGGACAACAATTGTTTCATCATACAAAACAAACAATTGAAAAGTACCCTTCGGACTATTAAGGATGTATGTTAAAGAATAACATGCCTAAATAGACATACATGTGTCTTAAAGTAGTGCCTTCTACTTTTTGTCAATTGTTCTGTTTTGACAAATTTCAGTTTAGATTTTTTTAAGGATAGTCTTCCTGACATTTTTAATTGATGTTTGTTCATTTATAGGATTGTCCTTCTATTTAAGGAATAAAAGTGTGGTTGAAGAGTTGTCGTCGTCAATGGCGAGTTGGCGATCGCAAATGAAGTTTTACTGGTGACGTGTAGCGGAAACTGTAAAAACGGATATTTGCGACCGTCCAATAGGAATAGACGGCGACAACTCTTCAACTGCAGTACTGCTTATCCTATAATAATGCCTCACAAAATAAATAGTAAAAATGTATAAATTTAAGATGAAAAAAAATTCTGAGAAACTTAGTAAATGATTTTGGCCCTTGAACGTCATGGCAAAACATGACGTCATACAAATAAAAACTCTCAAATCTAACGTTATTTCGTTACTTGTACGATTCAGTTTTGGATAATATCTCAACGGGGTTTATGAGGTAGATGTTGTTTTATTTTGATTATTTTATATTATTATTACATCCATTGCAATGAAATACCGTGATTTCCAAGTGAGATAAAAACCGATAATTTCACTCCTCTGACGTCATACAACTATGGTGTTGTCAAAAAATTGTCAATGACGTTGCATCAAAACAAATTGTGGATGCGTAGAAATATAAAGTTCCTTATATTTCATACTTTATTTCCATAAAAAAAGCCCATGGTCAATGTAATAAAAATAATAACTAATCGAATAATTCAGATATCGAAAAATATCGATTTAATAACATTATTACACTAGTTGCAATGAATTACCGTAATTTTCCAGTGAAATAAAAACCGATAAATAGACCTGATAGTTTCACTCCTTTGATGTCATACAAAAATGGGTGTTGTCAAGACGTTGTCGATGACGGTGAATCAATACAATAGAGAATACGTAAAAAGAGAAAAAAATATAGTTTCTTTCATTTTTTTACTCTATTTCCATTCAAAAATTCTACTGTCAATGTAATAAAAAAAATACGGCATTTCATTGCAATCAATGTAATTATTATAGAATAACTAATCCAAGAATTAAAATATCGAAAATATTCAACTCGTTACCGAACAACACTGATAATTAACTCATGCGCTGCAAGCATTTGTGAATGAATGGGTTTTTCGGTCACTCGTTGAATATTTTTCTAAATTAGAATTTTTTTATTATTTATTCTATAATTATTATATTAATTCCAATGAAATACCGTGATTTCCATGTGAAATGCATCCGATAATTTCACTAAACTGACGTCATACAACAATTGGTGTTGTAAAGAAATTGCCGTAGTGTTGCATTAAAAGCAAGTTGGGAATGCGTAGAACAAAACAGTTCTGAGTATTTTAAGATAAAAAAAATAACTAATCGAAGAATTCATATATCGAAAACTATTCAACTCGTGACCGAACAACACAGACAATTAACATGATTAACTCATGCGCTAAGCGCATTCGTGAAGTAATTTGTTGTTCGGTCACTCGTTGACTATTTTTTTCTATTCTTGAATTCTTCGAATAGTTATTCTATAACTAATTGAACATTTGTGGTTTTCAACAATTCAATATGGCAGTTAAACACATGCAATTGTTGATTTGACGGTAAGTTTTAGCCAATGAGAAAAAAATGTAACATAAAAATGAAATAAGTATTTCCTTTTTGTTTGGCCTTTATGTAAAACAATTGAAAACTCTTTTTAAAAATATATATTGGTAGCCCTGTAAAATCTTCCTTGGCAATAGATGAATTCCAAACACCTGGCTGTTGCTATTGTATTTACAGTGGCATGTGACATAATTTTGATGGGAAATAAATTGTGCTCAAACTTAGAAGCACAATCAGGTAATTCGCCAGTGAATAAAAGAGTTTAGTAAATGTTTAGGGTGACATGAAAGAATATTGATATGGTCATAATTATAAATTAACTGTTTACAAAACTAAGAATTTTTAAAATACTGAGGATTTTCTACACCAGGAATAGATAACCTCAGCTGTATCTGGCAAACCCTTTCGGAATTTTGGCTCATCAATGCTCTTCATCTTCGTACTTTATTTGGCCTTCTTAACTTTTTGGATTCGAGCGTCACTGATGAGTCTTATGTAGACGAAACCCGTGTCTGGCGTACAAAATGTTAATCCTGGTATCTATGATGAGTTAATTTGCCATTTCTTTTAGGCGTCTATAGTTTGGTGTATAAGTTCATGTGTAGCAAGCAGAACAATTTCAGCTAAGATAATGAAATGAACTAATGGAATATATCATTGCTTCATGATGACTGAATAAAATCATAATTTAGATATAACTGGTTTCTGTCACCTTAGGCGTAAAAGTAAATAAATACATAGATCTTGCTAAATTTGTATAGTTCCTCTTTTTTTACGATGGCATTAAAAGTGATTACAACCTATCGTAAAATATTAAGCATTTAAATTATAAACGCATGTTAAGTCTCAACAGAATGCATTGCAATTGTTATGTCATGTTATAAGCACTGGCTACGATAACCGCAAAAGTAACAATAACAAATATCATTTTTACTTCCTAAACTAATTTACGAAATGTATATCCGGACATGGACCCGATTTCATTCAGAAATTCCAGGTAACAATAATATCATTTTATATCGTTACCTGCAAAATTTTACATTTGCAAATTATGTCTTTTTTGTTTGTAGCATCGGGATACTTTGGACTGTATCCGTGTCATTGTCCCGTGTACATATTTACACGAATTCATATGAATAGAAAATTATTTATTGTACATAGCAACAAATTTTGTTTAGATCAGTGCCTGTCTGAATATTTTTTGTGGGTACTGACAATGACCGCTAGGTTACAATAAAAAATGATGTTATTGTTACCTGCAATTTACGTTTGAAATTGGGTTCCCTGTCCGGAAATAAATTTTGCCAATTTGTCTCGGAAGTAACAATAATTGTTACTTTTTGCGGGGAATCGTAGCCAGTGCCTATGGTATAAGTAATTAAATACACATAACGTTTTTATTACAGATAGCGTTGACATCGTTTTCACATTGTGGTATAATTATCACACACAGCATACGCTCTGTGTTCTGAAAGTGACTTAAAGCCAGTCCGGTACTCTTGAATGAAGTTCCTTTATAATGCTACCTTCTTTGTCTTGTGATATCCATCGAGTTTGTAAATGTGCCTTAATCTGTAGTATTCTCAAAGAGTAGTAATCAAAATTTGAACGCCAATTACATAAATTGTATTGTGTTGATCTGAAATAGTAGATATAGAGTGGGGTTGTTTGAGCAATTATGGTAAATGGTCTAAAGTATATTTTTCAAACAGCGTTGCTCTCTTAAATGCCACCCATAGTCTCTCAATATTCAAGGGAATGCTATTTGCAGCATCTAACAACTTATTAACAATTTTGACAGAATTAGTTTATAACGATTTTATCAGCTCAAAGAGACAAATAGGATCGGCTACAAGTTTAACCAACTTCTAAAGTCTTCTCCTTTACATTATATATAACAGTTACAATTTTACAGAGAATGCACAGTTCAGTAGATCTATCTTATGAACACAATTAGCAAAAAAAGAAAAGAGAATTGAAAAATAAAGTACAAAAAATAAAATAAAAAAAAAATTAATAAATAATAATTTTTTCACAAAGCTATTCTGCCTTACTGCATGTCATGTTTTATATGGAAGGACACCTCAAATATGTTGGGTGACGAAATATTGTATCAAAAATAGAGAAAATATCAGAATGAGTCGATTTCTTTTGCGTAAACCATTCACTCTGAAAATATTAACTAAGACATTGTAATGCTTCGTGAACGTGATTCGAAATAATCGTGCTTAGTATATTTCAGTTACTTTTCTCGTTTGCTTTGCTTTATCTTTTTTTGAAGACTTCATCATTTATAAGCGATATTGTAGCTTGTGCAATTCAAGAAATATTGAACGCTTATTTAAGGTTACATTCTTCAACACATATGATATTTCTATGTGATGTTCATACATTGTACATGTTGTATAAAGTACATTTTTGTACTTACAGTATTTTCAGTCATCACATAGACATTCTGGTTGTGGACTTTTATATCTAAAACTGGAAACGAATGCTGAACGATTTGAAATATTCCTAATTGTTCATTCTTTCTTTCATCCACATATATCTGACAATAAAAAAATAAAAATATTCGACACTTATTTTCTTTTCAACATTTTTTACAATTATATCTAAGAAATGGTAACAGATACCAAAGGGATAATCAAACTCGAATGGTCTAAATCGAAATGACAATGCTATGTCAAAAAAGGAAAAACGACAAAAAGACAAACAACAGTATACAAAACACAAACACACAAAATACACTAAAGAATGAGCAGCAGAAACCCCACCGAAAAATCGGGGGTGATCTGAGGAAGGGTAGGCAGACCCTCTCTGCATGTGACACCTGTCGTGTTGCTCATGCAAGTACAAACCCGGTGATAAGTCTAATTCGGTATGTAAAATTCAAGGAAACGAGGATGGCATCGTAGTTACATCAATTCGAACACATGCGTCGTCAACTGTAAAACAGATAATTAATAAAGGTCAACCAACTCGTGATGGCGTCCGTAAAATTTTCGAACTGACAATTTCAACTTCACCACTTGAAACCCTTGGTTAAAAAGCTTCCTTGTAAACAGCAACTCCCTAGCAAAGAAATCATAATAGGAAAGACAAGCTTTGAAATATTGAATTAACTATAAAAAGGTTCTGCTGAATTGTTGCTACTTAGAAATGAAAAGTTCACAATTGGGAAGCTGAAATGTATAAGATAAATTAAATATCTTGACAAATGTTCGGTGACTAGATTTAAAGTGTCATTTGATGAAACCATGCCTACCGATTGCATTTAAAAATGATATTGGTTCTGTCGATAAATTTACAAATTGGTAAAAAAAACTTAGTTTAAAATTAACTCCCTCAGGCAAAGTTGACCGTAGATGGATTTGGGTATTCTGTTATATCCCCGTTTGGTCGTATAGATCTGTATCTTTGAGATGTTTGGGTGAGAGTATCCGTGATGAAGGTAAATCTAGAAAAGCGCTTAAAACACATCAAATTGATAAAGTGTTATTTTCATTTAATAGATGGTCACCTCGGTCGTTTTTAGTAAATAATTGTTTCCTTTGAGTGTGAGAAAAACATCGAAAAGAGTAACATCGTGACGGCAACATATACCAAAAACTTTTTTCTTGTAATCAGGATGAGATCTTACATTGATTCTCTGAAGATATATACTGTTACAAAAATAGAAGATTTTGTCATAGAGATAATAGTGAGATGTTTGGATTGCTTAAGGACTCGCTCTTATTTCAACATTTCTGAAGATTTATGCTGTTACAAGAAAAAGAGAATTGTGTCTTAGGAATTGTATTGAGATATTTGGATTGGTTAAGGACTCGTTTTTATTTAAACACCTTTTCCATATCAATTTTACAGAAAATCCGATAGATTTAGAGTAATATATATTTACAAGTGTATTTTAAAAGTTCTTATCATTCTAGCTCTCCTACTATTGCACGTTATATAAATGCATATAGATTACAACTAAATTTGACCTCTGTCAGCCAAATATGTCAAACAAATATATGAGTTAAATTAATGTGTTTTTAAAATGATGTTCAATATGCTACATTTTATATAATTGCATGTAAAAGAGAGGAGAAAGATACCAGAGGGACACTCAAACTCACAAGTCGTAAACAAACTGACAACGCCACGAACAATATATAGTACACAAAACACAACATAGAAAACTAAAGACTGAGCAACATGAACCCCACAAAAAACTGGGGGTGATCTCATATGCTCCGGAAGGGTAAGCAGATCCTGTTCCACATGTGGCACCCGTCGGTTGCTCATGTTAGAACAAATCCGGTAATAAGTCTAATTCGGTAGGTCACATTTGATACTTTCTTCGTACTTTTTTCATTAGTAATATTTCTCATACATGTGTAAGACGATTTTTGTAAAAACGCAGAAAAATATAAGAATGGTAAAGAACATAGATATTTTAAAATTTCAGATACGTAAATAAGTGACAATATTTAATTGAATTAAAGAATGCGAAGAATTGACACTGAACTCGTTCTAATGTTGATGTATATTTGATAAAAAGATTATTTGTTTTTAGTTTTTCATATTTATGATATTCTTATTTTGGTTTTAGCCCCAATGCGATTGAGAATCCTTTTGTACTTATTTCATCATTTAATACTTTATTAAGGAGGTTAATATTATATGTTAAAGTTTCTCTAATTTTTTCATGCTTCATAAAAGCCTACCCATAAAATTTGAACCTATTCATTCTATACTGTTATAACAATATAACAATAAAAAAGCAAATAAAAAATAAATGTGTCGTATGTTTTAGCTTCTTTTTGCCTTTTTAATTTAAAGAAAATAAATCTAAGTTATAAACCGTTCGTGCAACGGTTACTTGCAACGGTTGCTTGAAAGCATAATCGAGTACATACAATACTGTTTGCTATATATAATAAAAATATCAAAGTGAAATTAATAACAAGTTGCAGTTAAAAATCCTCCAAATACTTCTGATTATGATTCATTACACATACGTTGATATTAAGTGTATATATCAATTATTTTCCAAATTTAAATGACGGCTCCCGTTTCGTACTACGGTTGGTACCGTAGCAAATCGGGAGACCTTTATTACACGAGATACGGTGCAGGAATCGGTCTCTCTAATGATTTTTTTATACGTTCTATGGAGGCAAACTTTGGGTATCTGCATAGAGATCATGTTTTTTCTATGTAACGTTAAAAAACATGGTCGTCTTTTTAGTAACGTAACTATAGTGAACTCAGAAGAAAGCTAGAAAAGTTGACATCATTACTCAATTTTGACCAATGATGAAATAAAATCAAGTAACCACATCCTGATTACAAAAAATAAGCAACCATTCACGTTATATATAAATCGACTAGAGAAATATATGTACATACTTTACCAATTTTTCCTGTTGTCGTCCCAGCAAAAATAAGTGAGTGGGTATTAAAACCTAAAACACCAAGTTTAACTATGGCACCGACTTGTAAAATTTCTTCGCTATAAACTATCTCGTCTTCTGTTGAAGGTAATGCACCTTCTACTGATCCAAAGAATTGTGTTTTACAGAATCCGTCGGTTTTGTCAGTCGTTTCTGGGCAGGAAATCTGAAAGATACAAACTGTGCTGATGATAACTATCATCGGTTAACCAAATTCCAATGGTCAGCATTTGTATTTTCTAACTTTCTGTTTTATTGTATATTCATAAATGTAATATGTATATTTGTAATAAAGTAATAATGTTGTTGAACTGAAACATAATTATTTTTCATTTTTATCTAAAATGATAGATCATATTTTTTTTACATACAAGTATATTAACAATTTGACAATAGTAAAATACAATTCATTTGTTACGGTTTATTATTAACAAAGTCAAGAGGGCATCTATTTTGTACTGGGTTTTCTTACATTTAAAGAATTTCCTTGACATTGTCCTGTTGTTCTATTAAAACACCAGTCTGTAAGGGCTTGCTTTACGAAGTATGTATTTGCAGTATTATAATATGGACATTCTAATCGTTTTTGTCTGGATTCCATGAAGGTTTTTGCAATATTTCGAAGTTTATATTTACAGATCACATTTGATGAATCATCACTAAAAACAACAAACAAGTATTCTTTCCAGTGCACCGCATCTTGTGCCATAGTGTAGATTTTGCCATCACGTGAACATACGATGGGCGTGTCTTCAAATGAGTTAACGTTACTCACTGTGAATTCACTTTCAGTATTACTTGTACACATTTTCCCTAATTTTGAATGTCGTTCTTCTGTATTGAAGAGAAAATAAATAAATTTTTCTATTTTCAAAATAGCCCTGAAAGTAACATGCTTCGCATTTTGTAAATACTCGACATCATACTCTCGACGTCCTGGTTGAAATCTTACGAGAAAATTATCTAACGAATAACTAGATATAGCATTGCATTTGCTATATTTTATGTCATGCCATAAGCACGTTGACGATCCTATGATCAAAATATTTGTTTGTTTTGCTGTTGTGGTTAAATATTTAGGAGCTGGTTTATTACTTTTCAGACTTCTATCATATGTAACAACACTAAGATCTTTTTCGAATTTCAAACACAATATATCGTTATTCGAGTTAAAGTTACAAACAATTAAAGAGTCATTGTTATGAGTAGCCAGTAACCAATTTTCAGAGTAAATTGAAGTTACACCATCAACGGAAACATACTTCTGGTCTGATTGAATCAAAGATGAATTTAACTGTAATATTTTACTGTTGCCTCCAATGTATACATAGTCTGATGTAACAGCTATATTCCGAAATTTCTCATCATTATTTCTATACACTGGTTTTGAATAAATACATCTTAATTCAATGATAATAACGGTTTCTATCATAAATAGCAATGAGATAAAAACCATGATTCCAGATTATCCAATTGTTTTACATTAGGTCCTGTTCATTTGAATTTGTCTAGAGAAGTGCAGCATATTTGTCCATTTGACTTTTTTAGCATGCAAAGAAACCTGAAAAAGTAATTTTGTTTATTGAAATATATAAGAGAAAATGGGACATACATTGTATAACCAATTGATTCTATATATGAACATGAATGTGCTTGCTGTGTCTTCTGATTGTATAGTATAGTATATCAAGTATGCCTAAAATTGATCAACATTGTCAATTTGTCATATGTTTTGTCCCAACTCAGTGACTAAAAAATTAAATGGACAAAGATTTGGAACTAGGGAAAATTAAATTCAAACAAGAAAAAATCGAACGGCCTAATTTATAACAAAACAATGTACGAAAAAAATGACAGATTTTAACCAACGCCAACCACTGTACTACCGACTCCTGACTTGGGACAAGTAGCACATTTATACAAATACCTCACACATCCACAAAATGTCGAGATAAAAGTCAACGATCTTTCATCCGAGGGCTTTTATGATTCGAGAGTCACTGATGAGTCTTTATATAGACGAAACGTGCGTATGGTATATAACCTTTTAATCCTGGTATCTATGATGAGTTTATTTACATCATACTAATGAAGAAAATCTGTTATCGAAATATTTATTGATAAACTATCTTCTTTACACATTTTACAGGGGCTTCGAACGTTATGAAAAACGATACTTTACACAATAAATAAATAAATATACGTATATAGAGTATACAAGAGCACCAAAATTAAAAAGAAGGAAAAAAGTAAAATACCGAACTCCAAGGAAAACTCAAATTGGAAAGTCCCTTATCAAATGGCAAAATCAAAAGCTCAAACACATCAAACGAATGGAAAACAACTGTCATATTCCTGACTTGGAACTGGCATTTCCTTATGTTGAAAAGGTAAACAAATACAAATATCAATAAATATTTCGGACACCAGATATCTTTCATCTATCTATTGCAATGTAAATGTGGTAAACAGCATGTTAGTGAGCCAGAACAGCCATTTCACAAACGTATGAAGTTCCACGTATATCGTAGTGACTATGAATGTAAGCCGAATCTTCCTCTCAGTCGTCATTTTAAATCCTATGACCACACCCAGTCAGATCTCAATCGACTATCTGTTATTACCACTGACCATGACGCTGCTTGGTGTATGGAGGAGAGAATAACCAGGGAAAGATTTTGGATAAGAAAATTAAAAACGTTTGTACCAGATGCGAACGATAGAAAGGTGTGATTCAAAAAATTCAGTGCTATCCACGTCTGTAGGCCATGTTGTTTCGTTTGGAATGAATACATGTGCGGTCTCTTCTATAGTGGGAACTTGGTTTGCATGGACTCCCAGATTTTAGCGTTTTTCGTCTTTAGCTTGTTTTACTTTCTAGATTCTTGAGGAAACTTTTAATTTTTCAAATACTAAGAATTTTCTTCCCAAGGAATACATTACCGTAGCTATATTTGGCAAAACCTTTCGGAATTTTGTGTCATCACTGCTCTTCAACGTTGAACTTTATTTGTCCTTTTTAACTTTAACAATCGAGCGTCACTTGTGAGTGTCCTTTGTAGATGAGACGCGCGTCTGGCGTACAAAAATTTAATCCTGAGTTTATTTACATCATAATAATGACGAATATTCTGTTATCCTTAATATTAATTGATAAATGATCTTTGTTTCGAGGGCGTCGGATTGTTATGAAAAACGATAAAATACACAATAAATAAATAAGATATACGTATAAAAAGTGTACAATAAAAAGTAAAATAACAAAAATACCGAAGTCAAAGGAAAATTCAAAACGGAAAGTCCCTTATCAAATGGCAAAATCAAAATCTCAAACACATCAAATTTTTTAAAAAATGGAAAAAAGTAAATAAACACAAATAACAATAAACATTCCGGATAACATATATTTTTTATCAGTATCATGTTCAGTGGTGCCTTTTAATCTATGCTGACTTTCATAAAAGTCTTGAACGTAATACAAATAAACCCTCTCAATGCCAAGGTTAAATATATTTCGTTTAGTGGTAATGCCAGGCGACATATATGTCGTGCAGGGGTTTAATGCCAGATGTGAAACATACATGTATGGCGTCACAATAATTGAAATTAGTCTACTTATTATATACAGTAAAACGTCAAAAGATTGCAACTTGATACTAAAAAGTTGAATCTATATAGCTTGTATCTTGACCATCGGTCATTTAAGTTATGTTGAGGTAATGACGTTATATGTATATTTATATTCACGGAAACAATTAAATTAAATTATATTTCTCCGAAAACTGTCGTCTATGGTAGACAACAGTAATTTCTTTATTTTCTACGCACGTGAAACCGGTGCAGAAGATTTAGACATTGACGCGGAAAGAACTGGTTATACCAAAGGACCTTGCGGAAAGGACAAAACAGATCGGATCGCCGGTTTTTGTATTGTAACTAATAAAACTTACTTGCCGACTCTTCGTTAGCGGACTTTGTCTTAGGAATGATTTAGAAATTTTCTAAATTATTTTTATAAAATTTTAATTTTAATGCGCAGGCGGATATCCAGTTGAAATTAAACAAAATACATGAAACTCTTTATTGGAGAAGTTCTGTATCCTTGGGGGACTTTTATATGTTAAGGACACAAATAAACACGAATAAAATAGTTTTTGTTGTAATATTTTGCTCTCAATAAAAATAACGTCTGCTACCCGCATTGACAAGAAATGAGAGAGAGAGAGAGAGAGAGAGAGAGAGAGAGAGAGAGAGAGTTATTATAAAACCGGATACGGAATAACCCGTCCCAATTCCGGAATGATACAGATACCAGACTGTGAACTAGCAACCCTTAATTAATAACGAAAATTATGTATACAACAGAAGGTAAAAAAGCCAAGTTGGTATATTTGAATTGTTTACATCTGTGTCTATGGGCTTTAAAAGTTTAATGAAGGTGCATAATTTAGGATTTTATGCATCTTAAAATTATAATACGGAGCTTCGAGATATTTGTAAACTTTTAAATTATAGACACATTTTCACAAAACAGTCGATTGTGGTAGGTGCAAATACATGGGGATCTTTTTTGTGCATAAGCATAAATTCCGCCGAAATAAATTCCCCAGAAAGATAATAGATTGATCCTTTTAAAGCATTAATTTGCATCTCTGCCCCCGGCGACAGTTTTTGAGAAAAAAAATCTAAAATGGGTGATAATTTCATCGAAAAGAGAAAGTCGAGTACACCTTTTTATGTTCAGGCGTATTTGAGTTGAGTATTCTGTCTTGAAAACGTATTAAGAAAAAGTATTTGATACATCATCTCTCTTCACATTCTATTATTTTTATAGATTTAGGCTACAGGTTGATATAATAACATAACAAATTCACAGTACTAAAAAATAAAATAATATGGGTCAAGTGAAATACCTTTCTATTGAGTCATAACAACAGATTAGGTGTGTTCGCATAACAAATTTTTTTCTAAAAGTGCCTGACGACAGACTTTACAAGTGGATCTTTAAAATGCATTACTTCAAAAAAACTTCATTCTTTGTGTGTGTATTCTAGGAATATTAGTCTTCAACCTCTGAAAGTCTGCCCTTCCACGAAATATTTAATTAGATTTTTTTTAAATGTTTTTGAACTTTCGAAAATTCCCCCTGCATGACAACCGATCAGACAATAGTTTTTAGTTGACTAAATGCATAAAAGTACATTAAATGATGCTCAATAACTAGTAGATACATTTGTCTTTTAAAATACAACTGGCATATAAGGACCGTAATGATGATATGTAGATACATTTATCGGTTTTCAAGAGCTAAATTGACAGCGTGTCATCCCTACATTGGCTTCCATTTTTACGATTGTAAACATTAGGTGGCGTAATGGGGAGATGATTTTGACGAAGTAGAATCCTGACTGCATAGCATAATTAGGACATATATGTCCATCACCGACCGAATTCTAAGTGGAAACATATGGCCATTCCATAAAGTTATATATTCAATTGAAAGAAAACGCAATATAAAACGTAGTTAATGTTTAACTGATTAATTATTAAGTCAGGTATTTTGTTCCCACAAATTAATTAAAACCTTTACTATTTTTTTTCATAGATACAAAGATTTGATCATTGGAAAAGACTTGTTCTTCAAGGTTATCAATTTAACACAGTTGTAAAAGCTTTAAATATTGTTTTATCGGTACTAACATTGACTTTGTTTTTGAAAAATGAAAACATAACTAGATATATATTGCTATATGTGTACAGTTATGAGAACTCATTATCCTTCACCCTGTCGATACTGTTACTTATATTTTGGCCTTGCACATGGTCATGAGATTCTCAGACTGCCTTTACACTAAATCCGTTCGATGTGTACAGATTGATATTTAGTTTGAAGAACGCGGTGTATTTATTTGCTGGAATTGGCTTTGAACTAGCTCTCAGTAACTGCGAGTACTCTTATTGCGTTGCTTTGTGTCTACTTTTTTTTTTTGTTGTTTTTTTTTGTGTGTCTTGCACCGATCTTTTGAGTCAAGCCAATTGCGACTGATTTTCACAGTTTGTTCTTATGTTGTGCTGTTACACCACTGTCCCAGATTAGAAGGAGGGGTTGCCGCTTACAAACATGTTTAATCTCGCCACATTCTGTGTGTGCCTGTCCCAAGTTTAGGAGCCTGTAGTTCATTGGTTGTCGTAGTTATTTTTGTAAATTATTTTGTTAAAAATCAGGCCGTTAGTTTTCACGTTGTCGAAGGCCGTACGATTGCCTATAATTGCTTACTACATGTACCACTTATACTGAGACCTATGTAAATGAAATGTAGCCATCCAAAGAAACAATTTTAAAAAATGACACATTGAGGTCAACAAACAATAAGCAAACATCTATATCAAATAGGATGCGGTTCCGAGACTAGACAAGTTGAAAATAAATGAAGCAGAAATACAACTTTCTATTAAGATAAAATTCATGATTATAAATAAATTGTTACATATAAACAAAGGCAACTGCTGACCTGGTTCCTGTAATTAGAAAGGCGAAGTAAAAATAAGTATGTGA